GGGTGGGGGCAGCTCCATATTAAGGGCCACGGGTGGGGGCAGCTCCATGGTTTAGGTATGACACGGGTGTGAGGGTCAGGGGGTCACAGACTTTTGCTCGGTCGCATACCTCCAGCTTCTCGTCATCCTCCAGGCAGTCTTGCCACTTCTCGAACTCATTGGTCCAATTGAGAACGGTATTTAATGGGCAGACCACCAGAGCCGTGTTGAAGTCCACCTTGTCATTCAGGAGGATGGCGTGTAGGAAAGACACGACCTGGAACAACACGCAACCGTGACTGACAATCCCGCCATACATGAACTAATCACACATGTGACCCCCCCCGTGGTTAGACTACAAATCCCAGCATGCCTAAAGTCATTCCTGAGGCTGTCGGCATCTTGCAATGCCTGATGGGAATTGTAGTTTGCAGCCAGAGATCAGCTACTGATTCTAAAGGGATGGCAGGCGGGGATTGTAGGGATGCGCGGCATGTGTATCGCAGGCAGACGTCGGACGTTCTCCTTTAAGACTAAAGCCAAGAAACATTCTGGCCGGTGAGGAATTCCTTCTCCGAGAACCAACCAAACGTCCTCAAGGATGAGGGGACTACGCTCGGCCCGATGCCGAACATTCGCTGAGCGTGTGATAAACAGGGAGGAGCTAACGTTGTCTGTAAATACCCCCCCTGGGGGAGGAGCCAATTACTAGAGAGACCTCAGATCAAACTGCCGGCTCCCAGACCAAAGCAAATATACAGACCCGAGAGCACGCTGAGTGTAGCCGACGTCCAAGTGTAAGACGCCAACCAAACACGTGACTCCACAGACAAGTCCCGGGCTTGTGCGGAGATCAGGAAGGTTCAATGGGTGAAGTACATGACCCCGGATGACTGGAGACGTCCGACATTTATTATGACTGGAGCCCAACCTCTCAAATAACTCCGAAGCATAAAAATCCAATGAGAGACGTAACGCATGACAAGAAATGGGTCCAGTGACCAGAGGGCGCGTCCCGCGAGGGGTTGCATGGTGTTCCTTCTCCTCCTATGTCTCCGGTGACCTCCTGCATGGTGTTCCCTCTCCTCCTATCTCTGGGGGAAGCGGTGACCTCCTGCATGGTGTTCCCTCTCCTCCTATGTCTGGGGGAAGCGGTGACCTCCTGCATGGTGTTCCCTCTCCTCCTATGTCTGGGGGAAGCGGTGACCTCCTGCATGGTGTTCCTTCTCCTCCTATGTCTCCGGTGACCTCCTGCAGCATAGACACCCCTTACCTGCAATGTCTTCCCGAGCCCCATACAATGAGCCAATATACAGCCGGAGCCGGGATCCTTCTTCATCTTCTTCACAGACTCGCAGCAGCAATCCCACATAAACTGAACACCTGGAGGGAGACAGACACGGGTCACACGCTAACCCTAAGGGGGGAGGATTGGGAGCACACTGGAAGGGTTAATGGTGAGGATTTGATGGGTAAACACTGGAGGGTCACTGAGCACTACAGTCGGGTGTCTTATTTTTTTTTTCATGTACAACAATCCAAAATTAATGCAAATCCAAATTAAATAATCCAAAATGGCAAAGTTAAGAATATGGTGATCAGGGCAATCGGGGGGCGCCGCACCTTTCCAAGAGCAATTTGGTAACCAATCGCTGGCCAGAATGAGCGAAGCTTTCACTATGGATTTCTCAGAGGCGGAGTGCGTATGGTATCACTCCGCCTGTGACAAGAGCCGGTGCAATAGAGGAGGCGTTGGCTTATCCCTCCTCTGCCGCCTCGCTTCCTCTAGCGCCGGCTTCGTTTCACCACCGATTCTCTCCCGCTGCTCTTCAAGTTCCCCCTTATGCCACCACCGGCCCTGGGAATGGTCACAGCCAGGTCTTATTTTTGGGGTAGGTCTTATTTTCGGGGAAACAGGGTATATAAGAGGCGATGAGGTCATGTGACACGCGGCACCATGTAGAACAGGGGTGGCCCAACTCCGACCCTCCAGCTGTGGGGGTGGAACTACAAATCCCATGAGGCATTGCAAGATTCTCACAGCCACAGACATGACTCCTGGAGAGAGATGCATCATGGGATTTGTAGTTTCACCCCCCACCTGGAGGGGCGGAGTTTGGCCACCCCTGCTGTAGAATGAGGACGGCGAGCTATGATTTGGGGACAGGTCCTTACCGTCCACCTGGTGAGGTTTCAGCTTTGTAACCAAGTCCTTGTGCACCTGAACGATGGGCTCCTTGGTCTCCTCGTCCTCGTCCAGGACCAGTTTGGTGGTAATCGGGCACTTTACAGGCGAAGCATCTTCCAGCATGATGATGACCTGAGGAGCCAACAGAACGTCATCTACCAATATACCGGATGTTCTATATAAATGCCGGCCCACCCGGCCCCGGCTATTGGATGAGATGCCCCGCAGCCCCTCCCATAACCTCATTGGCTGAGGGAAATGAAGCAGAATACAGTACAGGAGACACCGGGAGCTCGTGTCACTTCAGCTTCCATAGAAGATCCCCCTGCCAGACCCAGAATATTCATTACTACGGCCAACCCCAATGCCATCAAAGTATCACACCACTTCACGCGTGTGCGCGGCACACCACACACCACGGAACACATGTGCGCGGCACACACCACGGAACACACACCACTTCACGCGTGTGCGCGGCACACCACAGAACACATGTGCGCGGCACACACCACGGAACACATGTGCGCGGCACACACACCACGGAACACATGTGCGCGGCACACACCTCGGAACACATGTGCGCGGCACACACCACGGAACACACACCACGGCACAGACGGAGAATGGCCTCACCTCCCGCAGCTTTTCCCGCTCTCGCTCTCTCTCGGCAATCCTTCTCCTTCGCTCTTCTTCCATTTTTAGGGCGTTCTGAGTTTCCGTTCTTAATTTGTCGTCTTTCAGAATTCTGCGGATCTTCTTTCGGCCTTTTCCAGGAGATTTGGAGTCGGAGTCGTCGTCATTGTCACCGTCCTCGGAATTACTCTAAACAGGAGAGGAAAGCCATTGGTCAGAGCGTTATGTGAAGGGAAGCCGTGACCGAAATACGGAGAACTAGAGACGCACGGAGACCA